GTGGCTGCGTCAATTAAGGGATAATCACACAATGTTAACTGTACGTGCGTGAGGCGCGCGCACGCCACCCGCATGCATGCACGTAGAGATAAACACACACGCGCGCACGCACGTGTCTTCGCACGCGTGTGCAACTTGATCGCGGTAGCGGCGTAGCGGTGCAAACTTGTGTCAGACGAAGTCCGATTCTATCTCGGTACGTTAACGTTCACGGGGGTTGAAAGAGGGATGAAAGGGCGACGCGGAGGAACGAAGGGGAACGGTGAACAAGAGAAATGGGCGACGGGCAACGCTTGAGCTATCTTCCGTCTGGCAGTACTCCACCACGACTACATTAGTCGGCTTATCCGCTCATTATGTGGACCGACGATCGCACCCCCGCACCCCCGACTCCACTCGTTCCACCCCTCGTCAGGGATCAAGAGGTGCCGTCCTTACTTCCTGAGGCTTCGCGGCGATATCAACGTCGAATGGGAACCAAGTTACGGGACAGCGAGTTCGTGTTCATGTGCCGCGATTTACTAATGCATTTAAAAAGGAACCGCTGGCAAATGATTAAAAAAAGCGTTCTATTATTTATTTTCATATTTCAATGGGATTTAATGAGAGATCATATTTTCCGTCCGTTTATTTTTTCTATTTTTTACTCTTTAATATTTACAAGTTTTCTGCAACAGATTAATATTTTTGGATCCTCCCTTTCAATTTCAATTACTCGCGACTTTATTAATGAATGGAATTCAAGCTAATTTTGCGAATCTAAAGATATACATAGCGTGTTCCACAAATTGCGCGATATCACGTATAATCGTATAGTTTTTAATGAATCACTTTGTTCAGACATTTCCTTATCAACTCTAAATACAGTTGACTGCATTTTATAAGCAAACGAGTGTCGTCTTATCGCCGATCATCGGCAATCGCGGCGATGAAGAATGAAATCGGTGCTTCATCAAAATATCGCGCGGTTGAACCGCACTCCAATATCGAAATACTAGATAAAAACTATGTCACACAAGTACCTCGGTACTAGCTTTCGCTATTTAATTGGAAAACGCCTCGGAAAGCGGCGCGAGGCAGTCAGTCGCGGCTGTCACAAATTAAAAACAAACTGTTGATTGCGGAAAATGCAAAATGAGCGAATTTACTCACCCGACGCATCGCCATTTTCGTCGATATTCTCCAGTGATTCCAGGAGCTCGCTCGCATACACGAATTCCGCCGGAGGAACGCCAATCACCGCGGATTCCGCGGATTAATCGACGCGACGCGATCATCGGTTCCCGACACTTATTGCAACCGCGGATAAACAGGGGAAAACACGTCTGCGTTTCTCTCGTCGCGCGCAACACCTCGTCCGACACTGCTCGCGAGACTTTTCGGTTTCGGTTACGCCGCGCGACGCGCAGGAAAATGAAAGCGACAATTTCACGTCACGGCGTCGCGTCGGTTCGAGAAAAAGCGCCGGAGTAAACCTCGAAAGTGGCAGAGTCAGTCACAGGACTGACAGAACAGCAAAATAATAAATAAACGAATAATAATTACTTACCTCCCGATCGCTCCGCCGTCGCCCGATGCCTCCCAGGCCTCCTCCTCCTCCTCTTTTCGGTCCTCCTCCGATCTCGCATCTCGTCGGCGCTCGGCGCACTCACTCACGACGTTCACACGCGAAAATATCGTCGCTTATGATCGCGCGCTATTTTCGACACTTTGCATGGCACTCCCGGTATTAATCTCGCAGCGCGGCGCGTACCTTGTTACACGGCGACGGAAAAATTACGTCGGGGAAGCTACGAACGAAGCTGTATAATACGATCCGCTCGACGCTCGGCGTCGGTCCGTGATAACCCCCGCAAGTAGACGCGACGAGTGAGCTTTAACATGGCGGAGAGAATTTCGTAAATTGCGCGGCCAACTTCACTCGCCAGGAGCAACCGTCGCGAGGACGCTACACTTGCCGCTTGTACTGCGATTAAATTATCGATTTATGAACACTCACATTCGTGTCAATCGTGTCTATTCCTCATGATTACTAAATATCGCCAAACCGCGATATCGTGATTCGCCGTTCGCCATTCGCGCCGATTTGCCTGCAGCAGAACGGGTTTTTTTGACGAAATCAAAGAGATGAATCGAAATCGCGAATAACAAATGACGAACCATGAATAGTGGAGAGTCTACATTGGCAAACGACGAATCTATACGAATCGCGCATATATATACATATAGTCTAGCGCCAGCTTTAAAAGGCCATCGCACACTGGGACCGCGGTCCATTTGACACTATACAAATGCTTCGAAGCGTTTTTCTTCTCCTTCTTTCTTCATTGAAAGAAAGGAGAAAAAGAATGCTTTGAAGCATTTGTAGCGTCAAGTGGACCGCA